CAGTCATCAGCGACGGAGCCATCTTGTCGCGCGCGCTCAGCGCACTAGGTAGAATAGAAAAAGACACTGTAGCACGACTCAGGAGAGGCCCTGACGTCACTCGTTGGAAAGACGTGTGAAGTCGGCCATAGTGACTGGGCAAATTCTCCTTTCTTGTTTATATCCGAATGTGAAGCAGAAGGCGCGACTCTCTCTCCGGCACAAAAACCACGTGCACTGCACAGCACGCGCGTCGTGACGAACCGAAGCCGTCGGAGCGGGGCTCAACACGCTGGGCCAGGGCGACACCGCTGGAGAAATTATTTCGTCCGAGTATTATCAGCGAGTTAATAACGATAAGTTAATAACGATAACGTTGCAAGCACAAGAGAACCCGCGATGGCGTATGTGGCGCGTGTTATCACGTCATTAATTCACGCACTGTACAGACAGCGCAATGAGCCAGCCGTGCGCTACCTGCATTCCGTCTCCCTCGCGACCGACGCGGCGCCCGGCCATCAAGCCCACGTCAGACTCGTCGGCATTGTGCAACCGCGCTGACTTTAGAGCACGGTGCAAGTGACACCTGAACGTAGTTGCTGTGACAATGCTGGGGGAGAGCACAGCAATTAACGCCGACTTAATCTTTTGTGTCCCCTTGACCCTCCTAAGCCGTGTCTTTGGGAGAAATAAAAATGTATTAATCCTTCCATGTAACATGTGCGTATCGTCAAAAATAAATTTTTTATCACTAAAAAGGTGCTCTTATAGACTGTAAACTCAGCCGCTTTACTATAGTTTTACGCAACTTTTCACAGCTGCACGACAAAAAGGAAGTCAAGCTAAGAGCCACTCAAAAACAAATATGGTGGAACATATGACGGGGTGGCGCATGAACATTTCATTTTTAGTTTTATTACCTTAAAGACCCTGTTTATGAGTAATACATAAGGGGTGCTTAACATAATAGTACACTAAAAGCAGGTTATGATGTGATACACGTTTCGGTTTGTCTTCTTATGTCGGTAGCGTGGTGAGGCAGTCGTTTCGGTCTTTGGCAGCTCGAGGAAAAAATGAAGCTTAAAATGCCACTGTTCGTGTTCGTGGACGGGTTACTTGCAGTTGATGGCTGGCGCGCAGTGACGTGCGTGACGATGATGGCGTGATGCAAGGTGGGTGGTTCAGCGAGCTGTAAAACAATTTGTGAAAAAAAAAAAAACAACAGAGTGGCAGCACGACGACGAAAAGCTTGGGATGACAAGTTCGATTTAAGAGAAAAATGTTGACGTTATATGAATATGAAAAATGGATGAATCTTGTCGCACGATTCTGAAGTGATTCGAGTGCATTGATGCTTTGTGAGTCTGTTCTAGATGGCAGCGGCATATTCTATCTTTGGTCGGACAAATGATTTGTATGCGAGTAATTTGGCTTGTGGCGCATGACGAAGGTGGCGTTTAATTAATCCTGAGGTCTTGATTGCTGATGAAATGGTGTCCAGGAAAGATTGTGTGATAAAGTTAGGTCTAAGTACTTATACGTGAGAACTGATTCAACCGGGATATTTGCGATTGAGTAGGTTGAAAGGAATGGATAACGCCTGCGAGAAATCGAAAGGAATTTTAATTTTTTAAGGGTTAAGGGTCATTTGTCAACGAATGCACCAGTTATGTACGTTGTCGAGGTTGTTCTAAAGCTTGTTCTGAACTGTTAAAACTTAGTTGCAGTATGATAAATTATAAAGTCGTCGGCGAACATATGAATATGACATGATAGATGCTGTGGCAGATCGTTGATGTATATGAGGAAAAGAAGTGGTCCTAAGACTGAGCCTTGCGGGACGCCTGAGGTGACGGAAAGGGGCTTGGACGAGTGATTATTTACAAAAACAAACTGGGAACGGCTAGTTAGGAATTTTTTAATCCATTGTATTATATGAGCGCCTAAGTTCAACAGGGATAATTTCAGTATTAGACGGTTATGAGGTACTGTATCATATGATTTAGAGTAGGCGGGAAAAATAAAATTCGTGTAAACATTGTTAACGAGATTAGCATGGAGGTCATGAAGGAATATGGCTAGTTTTGTGCCACAACAAAGTTCTTTGCGGAAACCGTATTGTGAAAGATGAAAGAAGTTTACTGAATCTTAAAGGACGTTAGTGAAGAAAATAGGACGGTAGTTTAAAGGGGAGTTTTCGTTACTTGTTTTCATGACTGGAACGACCTTTCCCATTTTTCCAATCACACCGTAAAGTACCTGTAGACAATGGCTGTGAAAACAGCATGGTCAGAGATGGTGCAGATATGCACTTCGTATTTTTTAGAACCTTCGAGTTAATTTTGTCTACACCTGATGAAGTACAGAGCTTGCTTTTTTTCAGTTATTTACAGTATGAAAAAAAAAACAAAAAAAAGAGAGAGGATGACCTCGATTTTAGGTCTGGCGTTCCCATGCCGTCAATTTCGAACGGGGTGGGTTCCCTCCCAAGCGACTACAACTTAGTTCTGCCGAGCGCCAGTCCGGAAGTGCGCTTGTAGTTATTTAACCAGTGGGTACCTAACGGCAGCAATTCTCTGCCTCCCACAGCAGGGGCGGAGGCTCAATTATTTCACAAAAGCTGGTGTGGTGGGTTAAGGTATACGCCCAGGGGCCTTCGCAGAACCTTATGGGGCTACCTGTCGAGATGAGCACCCAGAAACAACCGAACGCCAGGTTGATACCCATTGGGAGTACCCAGTGGGTTCCCGGTCGGCACTGGGAATCAAACCCGGTACCTCCCGCATTGGAAGTGTACGCTCTAACTCTGTAGCCACCGCTGCGGCAATGGCTTTGTGCGAACTGCTGAGCACTTTCCGTAATTCCGCACCGGCTTTTTGATTGATCCACTATAGACACTCAATGAGTTGACAGTGATGTGAACTAAAGCGTGGGCTGACGACTGACTCTCTGGCCGCATTAATGAGATGGCGGCAGCAATTTCGTGCAATCACTACCTTGATCCCTACAACACGTGCAATGGGACGATCAACAGCCGTGATACAGGCAACAACGACTGCAGGGCACGGATGAAACATGGCCGGCGTCGAGCAGCTGTAGTTGAGGGTAGCTTTCTATAAGAAATTTTCGCCCTTTCACGCTTGCTATCACGGCATCAAACCAAAATTCAATGAATACGCAGTTTTTTGCTGTATGAAGAAATGAGTCTGATGATTTAGGCGTGGCACACCGAAACAGTGGTACAGCGCATGCGTCAGTCAACCGTCGATTAGCTTGTCTAAAAATGAAATCAAATTTTTTGACAGTTGTATTTCGCGTAAACCACCTCGCATGCCAGATTGACGAGTCGCATATCGCATGCGCTGATAAATAAGTTTTCGTGTCTTCTTTTTCTTCCGCCGTTGTGCCAATGTTGTACGCTCGCAGATGTGTCCAGACTTCGTTCTCGTGTCCGTCCTTGCACGCCCTGTCTTCAGAATGAAGACGCGCCAACTTACCTACATTAAGTGTGCTGCGCGAACAAAGAAGATACCGCGGAGCGGACTGACAACAAAGGTTAATCATGGCGCAGTAAACAAAGAACAAAGTATAGGTCAGCGTATAAAGAACGTAAAAACTCACCTTCGTTACGTGCAGTGTGACCGGTAGCAAAATGTTACTGACAGGGTCATTTTTCTTTGTGAAAACTTCTTCCATTCATTCTCGAGCCAGCGTTTCCAAACTGGGGCACGCAGTCGCACGAAGTACCTTCGTGCTTGTCGCTCCGTCAAAAAAGTTGACCGCATGTGGGGCGATGGTTTCGTTGTCGGTCCGTACTTCGATCACATTCTTGCGCATACAGTGCCGATTTTCTGTAGTACATATCCCCTTCAGTGGTGGTGTGTGTGCGCAACACAGCTTTAGGGACTCGTGACGCACCGCGTGTTACTTATAAACTGGTGAGCGAAGCTACATACACAGACCACGGGAGCGCGCGTGCCGAAATTGCCGTCTGCTAGTGAGAGTATTGCTCTGATGGAATTGCTGTCGAAAACAATGCTGTGGCGAATTCACCAGAGAAATGATCTTGACAGCAGACGTCTCATTACAAGACTGCGAAGATGCACGAATGGCTATATATGACCCGTACACTTTTGCTCACGGGTTTACACATCCGTACACGTTTCCTAAGTGCATGGACAACTAGCACTCATGTAAGTTCAATGTACTGGATATTGCTGCATATGATCACTTTGCTAAAGCATCTACCATGTTTGGCGAGTCGTTCAACGTGCCCGTTCCAAAAGCCACGTTGAAATGGTAATGCTTCTCCGCAATGGATATAACTGATAACAATCGGCCCATATTATAGTTTGTGCGTTAGAGGTGACTATTTTTGAGCAATAATTGAATCTGACTAACCCCAGAATAAATTCAGTTCAGGCAACTGCCGGATATAGGAACAGCCGCCCAATGTCGGTATTTCGGCGCTCGTATGCGCTGCATTGTTGTCATTCACATTGTTGCTCCGGGAGCTCACTTTGTTGGGCTACGAAGAACACCCTCTAGGGGATGTTGCTTAAACGCGGTCTATGGATACGTGCCAAGTAGAACGCGTTCGGAGGTTACCAAATTTTCACTAGATGGAGCTTCCCAATGCGCCCTTCACCTCGTCGCATCTTAGATGAAGCGAAATGCGACCGTGCTAGCAGATAAAACCGAAACTAGAGTGCTGGAAACTATATAGCTCGGTTTCTGTTGACGAGAATTTGCACACTGTTAGCTTGGCTTTAGGGTCGTCACGCAACGCTCTCTGCGGGCTTTTTGTTTCCTTTCTCCGTGGTTTTCTGTAAAATCACGTGGCAAGATGCACACTAGGTGACTTATTGCAGAGCACGATGAGTCCTACACACTTCAGTGCCCCTACTTCGAAGCACGAAAGGCAGCATGTCGGATTACGCTGTGGTATTTTAATAGCGAGCCAGTTGATCAATACTGCTCGTTCTGTTTGTTGACAAAATGATGAAGTGTGAAACACATAATTCATTTTTAAATGTTTATTTAATAAAAATATCTTGTACATTTTGAATACTGCATAATGGGTTGATTTTATCGCAAGTCGCCCGTGCATGCATCGTGCACTCACGCAAACGGGGAACGAAGGTCACTTTTTTTTCCTGCGAGTCTTGCAGCACTTGCACGGAGTTCAACGCTCTGCAAACATGAATGATTTAATTACTGCACATATATGGCACCATACTGAGGTAACGTGTAACTAGATTGATTACGGAGCTGGCGCACTATTCTGTCTGCTCATTTGGTAACTTCCCTTAAAAATATAGAAAAAAAGACAGGTTGACTCGTTGAACTTGCAACCCATCGACACAACGTGAACAAGCCTTTTTGAAAATGGCTGTGAAGATATTACGGCTGTTTTATTTGTTGAATGCGCTGGCTTGAAAAAAAAACAATTATTAAAAAAAAAGTTCTTTTAGCCTGATATCCCACGTCGTAAGAACTGTCACAGGACTCGTCTTAGGTGCGTCTTATGACAGGCTTCTTGGATGAACTGAAAAAAAAAAACATGATATTAGAACAGACCTCTAGAACGCATTCACTCTATAGCGAATGTGCGATAGGGACGAAATCGTCTGCCGTCTCCTGGTCACTGTTACGTTATATCTCGACAAACCATTTTAAACGGACAAGTATTTCAAAGGGAGAGCTTGAAGCGCAGCTCTTTGTGTCGTAAGTAATTATCAAAATAGTGTCACTGAGATTGCATATATATATATATATATATATATATATATATATATATATATATATATATATATATATATATATATATATATAGGCAGGCATGGTGGTTGAGTGGCCGTAGCGTTGCATATAGTCTAGTAGATCCTCCGTGAGCGGTCACAACGTGGTTTATTTCGACGTTTCGGCCTAGAGTCTGGCCTTCATCAGATTCCTGATGAAGGCCAGACTCTAGGCCGAAACGTCGAAATAAACCACGTTGTGACCGCTCACGGAGGATCTACTAGACTACATATATATATATATATATATATATATATATATATATATATATATATATATATTCAAAAATTTTGTTACAAGTAGGGGGGGCAGGGAGTTGCAAATTAGAATTTTAGTTTATGCTTTTATTCGTAGGCCCAATTAAAAAAACATACCGGAAGGAACCAGTGCGGATCAAAAAGCTGTATCTGCTGTATAACATCGTATAGTTCCAAAGCATCGTTTCGGTAGTTTAGTTTCTTTTCTTTCTGCCGAAATTGTTTCTCGGCGCTCTAGCTTTTGTCGCTTTTTTGTTACGTTCACTCACTTTATAAGCGTGTGTCACTTATGAACGGTAACGCTCCCGATCCCAACTGAGGAATCCACGCGACTCGCCTTTCAACCGTCCTCCACCACATCTGCCCCCAGGGCGCTTTGTTGACTGCTGTTAATACACTCGGTCAATGATTTTGGCTGCAAAACACCCGCGCTATGATTGGGATGTCTGAAAGTTTGCGCTGACAAAAGTGGGAAATAGATACGGGGCATTGGTCACTAAGCCTGTAATCCGCGGGATAAATTGTTCTTTCGGCTGTCGGCTGTGAGTGCAGGAGGAATGGAGCAACGCGGCGATATTTTGGACAACGAGGTGAGCCGCCTCAGTCCGATGATCTCTGGTGAAGATTTTGCGCATAGTTCACATGGTATAATAAAGAATAAGTGTTTATTTTAACAACGCAACCTTAAGAACAAGACGAGTAGCTTGAAGCGAAAAACGTATGAAAAAAAAAATTGAAAGAATTATGCCCTCTCCACTGATGTTCTACATAGGAAGACAGACCAATATGTCTAGAAATCGAAGCATAAAATGTTTAGGGAGTTTTATAGTATAGGGTACCCAAAGCATTGCGTAAGCGTTCGTCCCTACTGCGCATGAAGAACGATGAACGCTGTCTTTGCGTACCCTATAACAAAACTCCATTTGATATGTGGGATTTAACGTCCCAAAACCACCATATGATTATGAGAGACGCCGTAGTGGAGGGCTCCGGAAATGTTGACCACCTGGGGTTCTTTAACGTGCACCCAAATCTGAGCACACGGGCCTACAACATTTCCGCCTCCATCGGAAATGCAGCCGCCGCAGCCGGGATTCGAACCCGCGACCTGCGGGTCAGCAGCCGAGTACCTTAGCCACTAGACCACCGCGGCGGGGCCAAAACTCCATTTTGCACGTAGTATTTTGTATAGGGGAGTACTAGTTGACACGACTCTATCGTTCGAACTAAATTATCCTATCAAAGAACCGAATAATTTTCGGTATAATAATAAATGACTGCTGTTATGTAACCTCCAGTCTCTCTATGTGCAGTTTCACGATAACAAATAAGGTATTCAGTCTCACGCGTCTTGCCATACGGGGGAAATTGTTTTCGCATATTATATGGGTGATAAGAGTTCCACAGAACCAATTCATAGCCCGAAAGGCTATGAATTGATTGAACAGTTTCTCACTAACAGTTCTCAGTCAGTATTTTTTAATGGTCACCTATCTAACTCTCTCCCAGTCACATCAGGCGTTCCCCAAGGATCTGTCCTTGGTCCCCTTCTATTCCTAATATATATTAACGACTTGCCCGATCATGCATCCTGCAGCATTCGCGTATTCGCGGACGACTGTGCCATTTATCACACTATCAGTAACAAGCATGATCACCTGTATCTCCAAACCAATCTTAACAGCGTGCTTAATTGGTGTAACCCATGGTTAATGACACCTAATCCTTCTAAATGTAAACTTGTGTCCTTTTCCCATCGCCACAGCCCATATCGCTTCCAGTATTTTATCGTTAACACCGCAATTGAATCAGTACCATCTTATAAATATCTCGGAATAACCTTGTCTTATGATTTATCATGGCGTACCCACATCGCTAATGTAGTTTCATTAGATCTCAATAGTATTGTGTAAAACACGAAAAAACGAGCCTTTAAGTATACACTTGTTTCCCTTATATATATATGTATATATATATATATATATATATATATATATATATATATATATATATATATATATATATATATATATATATATATATATATGATGAACAAATTCGAGATGGCGGTACTTAGAGTGTTCACCAGATGAACGGGCGAACGAAAGCAAGAACGAAAGCAAGAACGAACGGATGGACGGACGCTTCGCCCCGCTCATCATCATTCACTCTGTGGATATGCTGCGAATTTTTTTTTTTTTGCACTGTCGGCAGTGACCCTTTAATCTTGCTATTTAACAATCGCCCACAGGAAAAGCCTGAGCCTGGTAGTTAATATTCGGCTAGAAAAGCTGCTATTTTCCACCACTTTGTCACGTAAGTGGTAAAGACAGTTCAGCACATCTCACGATGTAAATGCTCATAAAGCGAGCTTATATTCATCTAACTACTATTCAAAAAGCCTCTTAAAGCCACGTAGGCCTTATTACACGTAACCTTGCTCGGAGATGATCGGGTAACCTGCGAATCCTCCGTACACATCTGCTACCATAGACGTGACAACGTTGTTATGTACACATTACCCACACAATGTTTATTAACATACATTTGGATGCACTAGGAACTACGCACATTATATATACACAAGAGATGTGTCGGCGAGCCCTTTTCGTTTCGGTCTCCCGGGCTGTCACCACAGGGTCTTGGCGATGAGCTCGACCTACTGCTGTCCGCCGCGGGGCTGCCTTGGCTTCTAAGGTGTTTATGTGGCCGAGTGGTAACGAAGAGCGTTCACTGCCTGAACTCCCCCTGAAGAGAAAGGAAGCGCACGTGCCGAGAGTGGTGTGCGCCACCTTGCGCTTTCTAGTGAGCATTGTTGCAATCACTGGAGGGCGGACGCCATAAAATCAATATACAGACTCTAGAGAAAAAATCTGGACCAGAAAAGCCATAACCACCAAAGCGCTGGCATCTTGGAATGTTGTCAAAATCGCCATTACAATAATTTAAAGAAGCGCTAAATATAGCAATTTGAAACACTCAAAATCTCGCAATATAAATCATAAACAAGCGTGTTCACGTATTATAAACAGACGCAAATTGTGTGTTGTTCATATCAACTACTGTTAGGAAAGATACAATGACGACTTGAGCAATTTACTCGAATTGACTGCAGGCAAAGAGGGGCGTATGCAGCTTTGTTGACTAGATGGCGCCACCATCCTTTGTACCTTATTAACATTTGAGAGCGGGATCGTGCGGTGTGCACGCCGGATAAGTCGTATGCTGTGCCTCGCCGTCCGTGTTTTTTGTTGCCATGAGTCAGATCGATTTTTAAATGCGAATGCGCTTCTTAGTCGGGCAATGTCTGGCGTCCGTCGAGATCCGTCCACCCCCTCTCCCATAGCAACAGCTGCGGGCGCGCGCGCTTATCTTCGCCACTAGCAACCAGAGCCCCCACCTCCTTGACTTGAACGTGACTTGCCACCACCTCAATGCAGTGCGTTTGAAACGCGTTTGTAGTGTGTTTGCTGCCAGCGTTTGTGTAGCATGTGTTGATAAGACGCTGGATTTACGGCCGTCAGGTACAATGACAAGTGCAGTGCTTCGCAACTTCTTCTCTCGCCGTTCGCTCTCCTCCTAGCGCCCCACTTTCTAGAACGTCCGCTCGCACCTCACTCTCGACTGTTCGCTGGCTGGGCGCCTCTCAAGACATTCTGAAATGTGCTCTCGACCAAAGCCACCTAAAATTCTAGGTGGCTTTGGCTCGACACGCCGCTTTGAAACGCCGAGCCGAGAACGTTGTTTTGTTTACTTCATAGTATTTTTGAACCGTGCTCGCTAGCTACTAAAGCTGGAAACTCATACCACGTTTCTCGCGACAAAAAAAAAACAAAAAAAAAACAAACGCCACGTGCGACAAATGGCGCTAATGGCTGCATGGTGTAAGAAAAAAAAAAACATTATTTGTCTAACGCTGGGTTCTCACGTGCGAAACGCCGTTATGGCATTCGCATTTCCTCTCAGGGAGGTGGAGGCTTTTTTTTTTTGTCGTGACAGCTTCTTACGGCGACGCAACAAAGATGCATGAAAAAGCAAAAAATAAACTTCCAAGGGTCTTTGCAGAATTAGGTGGCGAGTGCGAGTTGACGCCACCCGTAAGCTGACTATCGCTCAGTTATGGCAGCACCAGAGTGGTCTTAGGTCTTAAAAAGCCCCGCCATGGTGGTCCAGTGGCTAAGGTACACGGCTGCTGACCCGCAGGTCGCAGGATCGAATCCCGGCTGCGGCGGCTGCATTTCCGATGGAGGCGGAAATGTTGTAGGCCTGTGTGCCCAGATTTGGGTGCACTTTAAAGAACACCAGGTGGTCAAAATTTCCGGAGCCCCCCACTACGGTGTCTCTGATAATCATATGGTGATTTTGGGACAATACGCCCCACATATCAATGAATCAGTGGGTATTAAAGAGCTTTTCTTGTAGAGACTGTAACTTCATGGCCGACGCCTTGAGCGGCAGAGCTTCATCTAGTTAGCGTTTCTAAAATTAGGTGGGCAGGGTGTGAGCATAAGAAGCTTGCCGAGGAAGCGTCTAAAATTTTTTCATCTGCGGTGACTAAGAAATTGACTATGAAGTGAGAGGTGAGCGTGCGAGCAGTTTCGTATTTGCACGCGGCTATTAGCTGCGCGTGGCTTCACTGTGCGCGCATGTGAAGTGGCTCGATATGTTCCGACAGTTGCCGCGAAGGCAGGCATACAGCACCGCTTTTTAGCGTGCAACTCCTTTTACCAGTATGGCGCACAGAATAGAGCGAGGAAGGATAATTAGATACATGCACTAATTTCAGACACTAATTATACTGTGCGCTTGAAAGTATCACATGGCGTACAGCAAAGGTACAGCAAATTCAACGCTCTTCCTTTAGTGCGCGATAGATCGGTTTTCTGGATCGTCTTATCGCGATCTAAGACAAAGTTTAGTATACAAGACCTAAAACACACACACACACACACTCACACACACACACACACACACACACACACACACACACACACACACACACACACACACACACACACACACACACACACACACACACACACACACACACACACACACCACACACACACACACACACACACACACACACACACACACACCACACACACACACACACACACACACACACACACACACACACACACACACACACACACACACACACACACACACACACACACACACACACACACCACACACACACACACACACACACACACACACACACACACACACCACACACACACACACACACACACCTTTCTTCTGTTAGCTTAGTGGAGTCCGAGAGGAAACAAGCTCCGTACTTGTGCAAAAATCGAAGCAACGTATTTCTCGCTAAGGCCTACCATTGGTCACCGGCTTTGCATGGGTGAAAATGAAAAGTAAATCAAAAACACTTTTCTGACTGCAACACTAGGAATCCTCGCTTGGCCACGGTTTTTCGTATACGGAAGACCCCTGGCGTTAAGAAATGACGCGAATGGCCCAACTCATGGCGTGGGCAGGGTTCTCCTTCAGAGCGGTGGGACGAATGTTCGTCGCAGTGCCTCCCTTTTCTATATTAAGTCAAAGTAACGGAAAGATTTTGTCCCTCCCTTCCTTTCTTGAATGACAACAAGAGGGAGGCGCACCCCGCTTTTTTTTTCTCGTGCGTGCGATTTTGGTCCTACTTAGTAATGGCACGGCCTTACCCTGTAATTTTTTTTTTTCGGGAGTTGTTCACTTGGAGAGCGGCTAACTTTGGCAACTGGTGGTCAGTGTGAAGGCGTGTAAATACTCTAGTATTACCCGAAAAGTTACAGCTTCAAAAATTTTGGGGGCAGTGAGAACTCTCTCCTAGTTACGACGCTGAGTAAATGTGTGAGACAAAATTGCCCCGCCCCTCGCTCGGCCACCTATACTTATCAAATAACCTGAGGGACAAGTGATCTTACGAAAGAAGGGCACGACATCCAGCGATGGTCACTGCAGCCGCGGCTGGCCTCTGCGTAAGCTGGCAGGCCCAACTGCCGGCACGCCTCCAACGGGAGCCGGTCCGGTGCGCAGTGCACCTCCGGTGGTGGACTCGTAGCGGGGCAGGATCTTCTGGACGAAGCTCTCCTCGCGCTTCAGGCTCGTGGAGCCGCCGGTACGAGGGACGTCCTCGTCGTCCTCGCCCATCATCATCATGCTGCGGGGCCGAGAGTGCGGCGACGGCACGTTGTAACCCAGCGGGCCTGGGCCGTAGTCAAAGGGGCCGCTGTCGCGGCTGTAGTGGGCCGACGAGGGCCGCTTCTTGGCTCGCAACTCTCCGTCTTCGGGACGAAGGTAACGGGACGCGTCTAGCGGCTGCTGCGGCGTCGGGGACCTGCGGGAGTTGTCGCCACGGCGGTTCACGACCGAAACCTTGCTTTGGTGCACGTTAAAGAAAGAGGTCTACGCCCGCCGCTTTGGTTATACAGAGGAAGAAAGGCAATAAACTCAAAATGAGACAGAGATAGAAGAAAAAAGAAATTGATAGATTGATAAGAAAAAAAGATTATGAAGGTACAGAAAGAAGATAAAAAAACAAAGAAAAAGAAATAGATAAAAGATAAAAGAAACAAAGAGAAAGGAAAAATTGCCAGATCCCATGTATGGTGGGAATCGATCATATGCGAAGCATGAATGAGAAATGTTGATATGTCACTTTAAAATAAAAACAATGTTACGAGCTGGAGGTAAATGATGCCGTACATGATTTCCGTGTCATGATTATCATATTAGGATGTGTTGTTTACCTTCGTCATTTATTCACGTCACGTGATACCAAATATATCACATGTGGAGCTAGCGAAATGGCCGCGAGCAATCTATGAGCGTAGTACGTTGTGACGTCCTTACATGACACGCGTGTCAGGATTATCATGTTTGCACCAGTCATATATTTCATCATTCATTGATGTCACGTAACACCAAATTTGGTGTATGTGGAGCTAGCAAAACGGCCGCGAGCGCATCATGGAGGGCCCAATATACTGCAACGTAGCGTTGATGAGCGCGCACGCTGGGCACAGCGACGCTACGTTAGCATAACGCGAGCACTCTATAGTCTGACGCCAGGCGCGACCAGCGTCCGTCGGTGCGGCCCGACGGAAACCGGTGCGAAACGAGACATGTTGAATTTCGCACCGATGCGTTACCCAGACAACACTGCGTCTCCCTCTTTTCGGGGCGGAGGGACGCCGGAGGCGCTGAAACGTGCATGCGTCACAACAACGCAGCGCAGCGCGAACGCCTGGGAGTATATGGCAGGACCAGCGCCTGGTGTGGCAACGCCGGCGCGACGCGACGAAATGAACGCCGGCGAGCACGTGCACCGCGTCACGTGGAAACGTATTGGCGCCTTGACTATGGCATGTAGTCATGTTCTCACATGACATGAACCTATTGATTATCATGTTTGCACCAGTCACATACTTTCGTCATCCATTGGTGTCACGTAATACCAAATTTGGCATATGTGGATCCGCATGACACATACTCGCAGGCGCGCACCGCGCTGCATTGCTTTGACGCATGCGCGTTTGAGCGCACATGGCGTCCCTCCGTCGCGAAGATAGGCAGACGCGCCTAAACGGCCGCGAACGCATTATCAGTGTGGCATGTAGTCATTTTGTTACATGACACGCATGTCGTTATTATCATGTTTGGATCTGTCGTCTGTTCGCGTGCTGTAATACCAAATATGGTATATGTGACGCTAGTGAAGCGGCCATGAGCGCATCATGAGCGTAGCATGTAGTCATGTTGTTACATGACACGCATCTCATGATTATCATGGTTGCACCAGTCGCATACCTTCGTCATCCATTCGCGTACTGTAATACCAAATTTGGTATATGTGACGCTAGCGAAACGGCCGCGAGCGCATCATGAGCGTAGCGTGTAGTCATGTTGTTACATGACACACATGTCATGGTTTTCATGTTAGCGTATGTCACTTTTGTTTTCCGTGCAATCATATCATACCATACCAGTTTTGCAACATGCCATGTGAACGAAACCACCGCAAGAGCTGCAGGACCATGAAATGTAAATCATGACACTCATAACATACATGCCATGATTTTCATACTTTGACTAGTCAAATATGTTCTTCATACAGTCATGTCATGGCATACCAAGTTTGATATTGATACCGTTATCAAAACGGCCAGGAGAACTAAAAGTCGTAGGCGGCTAGATAGATAGATAAATAGATAGATAGATAGATAGATAGATAGATAGATAGATAGATAGATAGATAGATAGATAGATAGATAGATACGCCGTAAGTTGCCGAAGTTCGCCAAAAAATGCTTCGCATTCAAAACATGGGGCACACTTAGGAATGTGCACGCCGAGGTGGCGCGCAAATGAACGCTTGTCAGACTCTACCACGCGTGGCAGGAGACGCAGAGGGGTCATCCCATGTGCTGGAGTTTAAAAGAAAAATCAAACAGCGTTGGCTTCTGTATTGTGGACATCATCAGTGCATTGCTCAGATACTAACACGTAACAATTATGAAGGTTGTCAGTTCCCAGTTGTCATGTGTATAACTATGCGTTCTTTTTGAGCGTCCTTCTTCGTGCTGTAGCAGCTTGCTGAAAGTATGGAGCTGCATGTCGTTCTTCGGGTGATATTCTAATCTCTTCATTGCTTCGTGATAGCGGCAAAACTGTGACTTTTCTTTCACAAAAGCGTTCTTTCTTTGTGTGTGTGTCCCGAAAACTTCCGCTTTCCGGAATCAACGTTACCGGTTGACATCGCTGAACTAAGAAAATTACAAACATAACTCGTTAGTGCACCCGTTCATATTTCCAACTGCGGCCGATGTGGAGGTTGCCGGCTCTGCAAAATCGTGCACCGAAACAAGAAACCCCATTCTCGCTGCAACGAATGAACGCCGTCAAGCGTATCTTTAATGCATTCAGCGGCACTCACTCATATTGTAACGGTAGGATGAGAACGACGAAGAAGACAAAGAGGAGGACGATGTTGTCAGATCTGTGAGCCAACTGGGCGCCATCTTGTCCACCACCGAGTTTATTCCTCGTTTTATAAAGTAAAGTTATTCTCCCGTAACATCATTGGTGGGAGGTGCGGGGTACTCACTTCACGCAAAACGGAGCTTCGTAGCGGGCGCCTAGTGGTCTCCCCCATGGCGACTGCAGTCAACAATGCCGACCCTTCCCCGACTACCGTGCCTTCTCCAACTACGTCCGTGCTTTCTCCAACTGGACCGTCAACCCTCATCTGGAGCCCCGAGAGATCCAGGTACCTTTTCTGGCACTGATGGCATTGACGTAGAAGCCTGGCTGAAGTCATACGAACGAGTGGGTGTACGTATGCGATGGGATCCAACGCTCATGCTGGCCAACGTGATTTTTTATCTCAGAGGTACCGCAAAGGTCTGGTACGAGACGCACGAGGAAGAACTGACTAGCTGGGAGTTATGCAAGCAAAAGCTCCGGGAGCTATTTGGCAGGCCTGTGGGAAGTCAACGCGCCGCCCAAAACGAGCTCGCACGTCGAGTTCAGACGTGCACCGAATCATACCTTACGTACATTCAGGACGTGCTCGCTTTGTGCCGCAAGGTAGACTCGCAGATGTCCGAAGCCGATAAGGTTGGCCATATTATTAAGGGCATAGCAGATGACGCCTTTCACCTTCTTGTGTTCAAGAATTCATCTACGGTCCACGACATTATTTCTGAATGCCGGCGCTTTGAAGAAGCGAAGAGCCGCCGTGTTCTCCACCAGTTTGCCCGGCTTCCAAACACGGCTGCAACGTCCACATGCGAAGACCCTCGCCTGCCTTCTACGGAAAGTCCCGGTGACGTTGTCCGTATTGTCCGTCGGGAAATAGAAGCCGCAGCTCCACTCGTGTCAGCCTCCCCCAACTCCGAAAGCTATCACGCCACCGTCTCTCTCATACAGACCGTCGTGAGGCAAGAACTGGCCAACGCCGGCTTAAACGTCTGCTCCATTCATCGTCCAGACTACGCCACACCAAATCCACCCGTGACTGTTCCGCCCAACCGACGTTTTTCTGCCAGCCCACATTATCGCGACCCGGCGGTATGGCGCACCCCAGACGACCGGCCGATATGCTTCAATTGCGGTCGTATAGGCCACATTTCGCGTCACTGCCGTGCTTGGTCCAGCTCTGCTCCGTGGCCTCACCCTCCGCCCCATCGCCCACCTGTCTGGAATTCACGCTCATCACCGAAAACAGAGCCGCTAACGCCTGAGAATTCCTCGCGCCCCCGATCCAGCCGCTCCCCTTCGCCACAACGCCGTTTCTCCCGCTCGCCCCCATCTCGCCGATCGCCGTCCCCAAGCTCGTTCCGGCGTTCACCTCCGGAAAACTGACGGGAGCAGCTCTTGGAGGTGATGCTGCAATACCGACCCGATCCCAAAATCCTCTACTGACCTTGCCCGCACATCAGAACCTTATCAATGTTGACGTCGACGGTGTACCTACTACAGCCCTCATTGACACTGGCGCACACGTGTCTATCATGAACGCTGACCTTAGAGCACGGCTGAAGAAAGTCCTTACTCCTGGCCCAACTCCTGTGGTCCGAACGGCCGATGGTGGAAAAGTCGCCGTAATTGGTGTGTGCTCAGCTCGCGTCAGCGTCGCCGGACACCACACATCAGTTCTGTTTTATGTTTTAGAACACTGCCCTAATGACATAATTTTGGGCCAAGACTTTTTGTCTGAACATTCGGCCTTGATAGACTGCTCTGCCGGTATAGTGCAACTCGCTCTACCTAATGTTGTTGATCCTCCAGTTGCCCTCCAAGTCGGCTTTGTTCTACAGAACACCTGCGTCTCCCTCAACGAACAGTAGCTTACATAGGCGTCTCCCCTGTTCCACCTGTCCCAGACGGTGTTTATATTGTGTCCCCCAATGTTGACGTCCTGCTTTCGCACAACGTTGCGTTTCCTCACACCGTCATCACTATTACGGCCAATGCATCCTGCCTACCCTTAGTGAATTTTTCACTATGTACACAAGTCCTCCCTCGTGGTATATCTCTAGCCGAGATCGTGCCGGCGGCAGAGTGCCATATTTGCACTCTAAGTTATGACAGCATCCCGAGTGCCGAAAAAACTTCGTCTACTCCTCCATCAGACCAAAGTGTGTTAACCAAGATGATTGCCCCGACTTGCCGAAAGAACAAGCTAACGACCTGCGTTCCCTGCTTGCATCTTTTTGGGACATCTTCGACCTTGGCGACCGCCCACTCGGCCAGACGTCCGTTGTTAAGCACCGGATTGATACAGGCGATACGAGTCCCATCCATCGGAGACCCTACCGTGTTTCCCATGCAGAG